AAAGAAAACAAAACACACAAGAGGTGCAAAATAAATAAAAGTGCAAAATACTTTTATTTCATACCTTTTTAGAAGTTCATGTTCTATAGTTTTCAGGTGTACCAGAGAACGTTGTTGTTCCTCAAATTTAAATATCTCCAAAGTGGACTCCATGCGGGGATGATTCACAACATAAAGATACACATTATGGTCTAAAGTGGAAAAAAGGCATAATTTCCAAGAAGTTTATTTCTATTGCAACTATTATTAGACTTAGTGTATGATTTGGTCACATTCAGGATTTTTCTCACACATCTTGTATCGGATCCCCACAGTCCACCTGATAGGTAAGTCAGACACATGCCAGAATCTCCAGTTAATTGAAGAAATTGAAACTCAGAAGGTGAATGACTTGTTGGCAATTTTACCACCACCAAGTAGCAGAGCCAAGTCCAGATGTTTCTGTGCAATGATCTCCTCAGCTCACCTTCATACCTTCTCCTACAGAAAGATATAGACCTACAGTGGTGCACAAACACAGAAGTGGTTTCCCAGGATGACCCTTCAGCAAGAGCAGTAGGTGCAAGCAAACAAAACTTTGCAGAGAATTCTTTTATGTAAGAATTGCCTACATTTCAATACATATTCCAGAAATTTCTGAGCTATGTGAATATCTTAAAATAAGCGACACTTCCCAGCTAGAGAATGAACTTCTGACACAAGTCAACTAACTGAGGTTTCAATAGCAATACTTAGTGGGCCCAACTGACATGTCGTGAAAATATAAATGCAAAACAGACTAGCTAACTCTGAATATTATCGACCTCAAGAATGTTCAACTACCTGTTTTCATATTGGAATGTGAACTTCTGCGAACAGGACAGAGGGTAGTAATCTGGCTTCTCAGAGTATTGTTTTCTGACTTCTTAGGAGCTCTAGATCAGATAGGCTCTGGAGTTTGAAAAGGTCCAGCTCTATCCTCCCTCTGCACGGCTCAATCTGCATTCATCTCCCTTATTCCTTCTCTTGGCAGAGTTTCCAAACAAACAATGCAGCAAGTCTAGGCCCTGAGGTGGCCTCTGAAACACACAGACCCCTTGACCCATATTAAAGAGAGGGAGTCCCACACAGATGAATCTTGCTTCTGGTCGACCTAGCGCTATTTCAGGGCCAGGGGCTTGGCAAGCAGAACTCAGTTGGATTTTAGCCCCCACATGGCCCTTCAGCCAAATAGTCTTGCTAGACACAGCATGAATTATATATGTGTTGCCCTGGTTTTACCTCTTCTTTAGGCTCCATTGGACCCCTCCTTACATATAAGCAATGTTTGGTAAGAATACTTTTCTTCTCTGTCTTCTAATTCCATTCCAACCTATTTGTAATGTTTTGGCCTTATGAGTTAAATACATAATCAAGGAAGGTGACTAATAATAAAGTATCAATCATCATATACTCAACTTTGAAAGCCTAATTATATGCCTGAGGGTTAATCTGTAAACTGTAAACTGGTCCCATCTCAAATAAAAAAACAAAACCCAAAACAATCCCCACTACCCACCCCTACCCGCAGTAAAAAACAAAAACACATACACACACATCCCCCCAAAAAATCCCCACAAAAAATACCTCCATTGCTAACACTATCTCATGAAATAAAATAGCTCCAGGTTAATCTGATCACTCATTACACCTTCTCCAGTAAAGCATCATATGTCTAGTTGGGTGTAAGACAAAAAAGTAGTGACTTTAAAATGATTTACATAGAGCCTGGAGCCCTAATTTCACCCTGTTAAAGGACATAGGATTAGAAATAAGACCATCTGGGTTCTAGCTCTGGAATCGCCATTTACTAATAACAAGTGAAACCACACTTCACTGCATTTCTCTAAACTCCATTTCTCCATCTATAAAACCGAGCATTAATATCTGACCTTCCTGTCTCATAGGATTCATTGATTTATTCACTTAACACATGTTCATAGAGAACCTACTCTGGGAATCCAGCAAAGAACAAGTCACATATGCTTTTATGTTGATTACATGGTAGAAAAAAATAGGGAGGAAATAATTAGTAAAGAATACTGGAGTGGGCACTTGCCTTTCTTCATAGTGACAGTTAAGGTTGGCTCTAAAGATGAAAAGGAACTCACTATAGAGAAATTGTGGGAGAGGGAAAGAAGGTTGATATTTTTTTAACATTAATAAAAAATATTAATTGCCATTTCAAAGATGCTAAAAAAAAAAAAAAGGGGGTGGCTCCATAGTGTAGTGGTTAGCACATCTGCTTTGCAAGCAGAAGGTCCTGGGTTTGCACCCCAGGTGGAGCCATGGACCATACCCCGGGTGCACCAGGCCCCAGGTGCACTCTGTGAGCCCGTGGGAGGGTCCCCGCACCTTCAGAGATCCAGTTTTTAAGGGGAAAACGGCAACAGGCATAGGTCAGGGGTGGAAGTATGGTGGGGGGGGTGGAATTAAAGAGCAGGGGTAAAAAAAAGAAGTATTTCAAGAAGAAATATAACAAGGTTTGTATCCTGAGACAAGATGGTGGGAAGGCTTCCGTGAGAAGGCGACATTTAAGCTGAGGCCTGAATGATGAGGAAGAGTAAGCCAGAAAAGATGGAAAGACATTCCAGGCAGAAGGAATTGCAGATTGAAAGGCCCTGAGGCATGTAGCATTTTGTACGACTATAGAGAATCCAGTGTGGCTGGTCCAGAGAGTCAGGGGGAGAATGATGTCCAGTGAGGCTGACGAGAGCACCCAGATGCCAAAATATGTAAGGGTAGTACCTAGGAACCCAGGTCATTTTGGAGTTTTAGAATTTCTCTTCAGAGTAATGGGAACAATATGGAGAATTTTAAGAAGAGAGTTACATGATCAGATTCATATAAAAAAAAAAAACAAAAAACTCTTGCTTATGAAAATGAATTGAAGTAGTATAAGAGGGAAGGTGAGGTCACAGGGCCTTTGCAGAATTCAGGAAAGACATGTTGGGCACTTAAACTGGTATGTGAGGATGGGGAGAGGTAATTGAGGGGTAAATTAGACAGAATATTGTAACTAGTTGACTGAATGGGGCAGGGAGAGGTAAAATGTCAAGATAGGGTCTAGGATTTTATTTTGAGAAATAAATAAATTATATATGAAAATGCTTTGTAAACAATAAAGCAATACAAAATTGTTAGGTATAGTTATCTTTTAAAGAAGGCTTTGCTAAGCAAATAAATAGCATATATAAGTTTTTAGGGGGACATTTAACCTACTTAATGAAAAAATGTTCAAGCATTTAAAAAGGTACTCATTTATTTAAAATTGAAAAAGTCTGTGTTGGTGCAGACCAAAAGAAATGGATAAGCAGAAAGAAATAATTATAATTATTCTTTTTCATTCATTAAATCAGCCCAGCAAATTTATACTTAACAATACATTGTAACTCAGTATGTATTTGGAAGAATTAAAAGACCATTTCTTTAAAAATTCTGAATTGCTGCGCTTTCATTTGGCCTTCCATTCATGGAGGTATTATTAGTGAAGTTTCACTGTTCTTATTTTCTACATGCTCTGTGGATCCACAAATATTTAAAATTTAAATTAATCTGGAATTTTGGACTATCAACAAGTAAAAAATATATATTGGAAATTGTTGTTTTAAAGCATATACAATATCTTAATAACTATTTGTTTTCTACAAGTTATTTTGAGATATAATTTACTTCCAGTAAACTCATACTTTTAAAATGTACAGTTTAGTGGTTTGTAGTATATTCAGAGTTATGCAACCACAACCATTATCTACTACCAGAACATTTTTATCACCCCTCAAAAAGCCCCATACCCATTAGCTGTCACTCCCTACATCCTACTTCTGCCCTCAGCCCCCACCAATCACTCTTGGTCTCTATGAATTTGCCTATTCTGGACACAATATAAATGGAACCATTCTATACGTGGCCTTTAATAACTGAATTCTTTCACTTAGGATATAATATTTGCAAGGTCTATTCATATTGTAGCATGCCTCACTACTTCATTTCTTTTTATTGGTGAATAATATTTCACTATATAAATATATCACTTTTTGTTTATGCATTCATTGGTTGATGGGAATTTGAGTTATTTTCACCTTTTGGGTATCAGGAGTAATGTTGCTATGAATATTTGTGTATAAGTTTTTGTGTGGATCTATGTTTTTAATTCTCTTGGGTATATACTGAAGAGTGGAGTTTCTGGATCATACGGTAACTATGTTTAACATTTTGAGGAACTGCCAAACGGCTTTTAAGAGTGACTGCACCATCTAGTATCCACCAGCAAAGTGTGAGAGTTCCAATTCCTCCACATCCTTGCCAATGTTTGTTATTGTCTGTCTTTTTTATTACAGCCATCCTAGTGGGTGTGAAGTGGTATCTCATGTTGGTTTTGATTTGCATCTCCTTAAAAACTAAGGATATTGAGTAGATTTCATGTGTTTATTGGCCATTTGCATATCCTTTTGGAAAGATGTCTACTAAGATCTCTTGGGTTGTCTTTTTGTTGAGTTATGAAAATTATTTATATATTCTGGATATATGCCTCTTATTAGGTTTGCGATTTGCAAATATTTTCATTTTGGGGGTTGTTTCTTCCCTTTCTTTGTGGTGTCTTTTGAAACAGAAAGCTTTTAATTTTGATGAAGTCTAATTTATCAATATTTTTATGTTACATTTTTTAATGTCACACAATTATTTTTAAAGGGCTTTTAGTTTTGATTTCTGAGAACAACATGTGAATTATTTTTGATGATCAAATGAAAAGAAAAGGGGGCAGGAGGAAGAGAGAGTGACTACTTCTAATACCCCTTCCTTAATGCAAATTTAAAAATCTGTTGATACACATTTATTATCTTACAAATATACATGTTTATAACAAAATATCATTTTTCTCCTTTCACATATATGTTGAGTAGTTGGAGATGAGTGGCTCGTATTTCCCTCATCCCCCCTTATTCTGAAGCATTCAGGCTTTACCTTCATCGATGAATGTACTAATCCCATGTGGATTAAATGATGCTTTGTCAAAACCATTACTGATGCTTAGTTCCTGGATGCTTGGGTTTGGCTTATTCAGATCCATCATGAAGATTTGTCCTGGCTTATCGGGTGCAAAGTTTGGTATGCCTGGATATTTTAATCCCTTTTAAAAATAGAGAATAAGTATGCACATATATACATATTAAAACAATATTTTCATATGGAAGCTAAAATCTCAAAGCCTAATAGAAATGTTTAAAGCTCTAAATTTCTTTTAGATTCTGGGATCTTTCGCTCTGTCACTTGTTGCCATTATCTGGTGTGAGCAATTACCAATGCCATCTAAACCGTTGGGAATGGGAATACAGGAATAACCCAAACACAGTTTTTAATACAGAGAGAAGCTAAAAAGTACAATGCAAGAGACGAGGCTGTGTTCCTTTGGGTGAGTTACTTGCCTTGCCTGTGCCCCAGGTTCCTCATTTATAAAACGAGGAAGTTAAAAATGTATGATGGCTAAGATTCTTTCCAATCCTGATATTCTATAACTAACTTTCTCAAAGCAGAGAGAAGCGGTGTGTGGTTTCATTGTATTGCTCTGATCCCTACATTCATTATATTTTGTAGTGACAAACACTAGAATTAGCCAAGAATTAACATAGGAGAACCAATTAGAAATTTGACCTATTTCTGACCTATTTTATTCCTATAAATATGTCTGGAAATGTGGACATGAATCCTTTTCTCCAAATACTGTAAAAAGTTCATTTCAGTAATTGAGACAGTGGCTCTGTCTAGCAGAAGGATCGGGTGTTTATCAACCAATCATAGGCCTCCTGAATGACACGAAGGCAAATCTTGGGGTTGGTTATTCTACACCAGTTACAAAACTCAGCCCACTTCCTCCCCATATCCCTCCCCCATTATACTGATATACATCAATATCGACAACCTTGTATCTTTTCTTGTACTCTCATTTCCACTTAACACGCAATTTAAATTCTCTCCTTCCTACTCTACCTTCTCTCTTTGTCACACACACACACACACACACACACACACACATACACACACACACACACCAATACTATTCTTGGTCCTTCCACTGCCCCCCATCTCACCCCTGGTGGAGTGAAACCACATCTTTGAGCTTTTCTTAGGACAGTCCTTCTATGCCTACATCTCATTGGAAACCTGACTTCTCCCCAGACAACACTAGCACCCATGCAGTGCATCGGAGAAGGTACTAAAGTTCTCCTCAAGTTCTCCTTAGGTCACCAAATCTGGAGAAGAGGTCAGCATGCCCCTAGTCACAAACATCTGCTTCCAGACCTCAAAACTTGCGTCATCGACCAATAGCCTGTCTTCTCAGGGAGCCACACCCTTTGCTTACTGCCTCCTTATCAAATTTCCTGCCAACTCCCTTTGCCCTGGTCCACCTCTTATAGGCCTAGACTAAAATCAGATTGAAAAAAGTCACCCCAACTTTAACCAGACATTCCACAATGTTTATCAATCTTTTGGTTCATTCTAATAGGTAACCTATTTATTGCATTTCTCCAAGTGTCTATTCAGAATTTATATCATTATCTTCCAGAGCCCATACTTTCTTCCTATTTATTCTCGATGAAAGACTCTACCTCCTATGTCTTTGAAAACAAAGAAAGAAACAAATATGCCATTTGACATGAATTTCCTCAGATTCCCTGCTTTCTGTCTCCGTAATTTTTCAGTTTTATCAATCCTCTTCCGTTTTCCTTCTTTACTTAATGAAAGAATATCCTTCTTCTGTTCTTAACTCTGCTACCTACTTTATTTTGTTCCTTATTCTCTAGGGTCTGTCTTTAGAAATTACATCCTCTCTCTCTTACTTTACCACTATTTTTTTCACCAATGCTCCCTTCTTTTGCCTAAAAAAATTGCTCATTTCTCCTTCTTTGAAACAAATCTTCCTGTAACTTTACTACTTCTTCAAACATGCATTTATCTTGCCTTCTCATTCACTGTCAAATTTCTTGAAAGCATCATTTGATCTTCTTACCTGATTTAATTTGCTCCAACTCTCAGTTGCCCAAAATCAGTATTCTACCAGTTTGTAGAAATGCCTCTATAAAGGTCATAATAATGGCCTCCAAAATATCTTATTTGATAAACGACTTTCTCTTACCTATATCTCTGTGGTATTTGGCAATAGGTATACCCCCTTATCTCTTGTCAAAAAAACAAAAGTAAAATTATCGGATAGAAGTCCTACTTCTCTTCCTGCTGCTTCCTCCTTCTGTCCTCATCTCTCTCTCTTTCCTTCTTGCTCTATACTCTTTCCTTGTAGATCTTGTTCATAAAGTTTCGGGTATTTCTTCTATACCAATGATTTTCAAATCTACACATTTACCTGTAATCTCTCTCTGGAGCTCTAGCTTGAATTCTCAACTTCTTCCTAAGGGCAGCTCAAAGTCAAATTGTCAAAACCAAAATCAACATGCTCTCCTTGAATCCTGCCTCTCATTCATATTTACTATTCTTCATTAAGGGCAGACCATTGTAAAAAATGTGGCCTAGATTAAGTGTCATGATAAATAAAACATCTCTAGTAAAGGTTTGGTATTTATCTGGTTTTCTGTTTAAGGCAGTTGGGTAAGAATTTGTGGCAAGTGACTGCAAGAAATTCTTTTGATATCATTCACCACTGAAAATGGTGAAAATCACTGGAGGTGCAGGCATCTTATTTTCCCCAACAGACTACAGGTATGTGTGGACACGCATTGAAAAATCTTCTAACTCTTCTCATTCACCAGCACATGCATTCGCTAAATACTTAAGCACCAACACTCTAAAGTCCTGGCCTCACGGAGCTTAAAATCCAGAGAGGCAGCACCAAGCAAGACCATCAGGTATGATGTGATATGTAAAGGCCTGTGCTCAGGGAACCCGAGGGACCAGAGAAGAAGCACCTCACTCAGGAAGAGAGTCTTAGGGAAGACTTTCCTCAGGAATTAAAGTGCCACCACAAAGAGGCCTCAAAGAAAACTAAAAGTTAGCTGATAACATGTGCAGAAAGGAGTAACCTTGCAGGCAAAGAGAAGCATTTCAAGGACCTGGTAAGAAAGCAAATAGCCTATTTGGTATCTCTAAATAGACTAAAACTCTCTATTACACAGTATTACTCTTGAAATCAGCAGCTTCCAAACATGTCCTAGAATGGGAATAAAGGGTAACACAAGAAACAAAGAACAACAAGGACTTGAATTTATTACAGTCATAAAGATGGCTTAAAAAGTAAGCGAAGAACATTATCCTTACCCTATAAGTATGAGTTGTTTGTTTACAAAAAGAGCTCCATTATTTAAAACTTTGTGTTAACATTTCTCATGGAATTATTTGTGAAAAAATCTCTACTTTCTACACAGCATTAATTCAGTACTTTTAGTTCCAGTAAAAATAGAAAAGCAGAATACAATAGGACCTACAAATATTATCTCCTAACAACAAAGAAATCTCTTAGTTATACAATAGTCATTTTGATAGGTCTATTTGGCATAACACTGAACATCTAAATTGACAATAGAAAATTCAAATCAACAAAGAAAAAGCTTTTCTAGACAACTTTGTTTTATCTTTGGTTATGGTAAACTAAAGAATAAATTTTTTTCCACCTCTTACCCCTACACATACCATCGTGAGCAGCAATATAAAATACAAATGAGACCCTGACTATACTGTGCATATTTAGAAATTAGAAATTCAAGAATTCAGAAATTCAAGCCATTAAGGGTTATTATATGTGCCCCTTTTTGGCCAAAATTATTTGAGAATATTTTATTGTCTAAAATGGAACAATAAGACATGCAATTCCAGAAATCAAAATTTATATTAAAAATGTAATCAATCTACTTTTTTCAACACCTTAGGTCCCATTTCAAATTGCAACTGATTTAACAAATTCATGGTAATTTTCAACATTTTCACAACATATAAATTTATTTAAAATTCAAAAATTGTTCCAGACCTATAAAAGTGGTATTAGGAATAAAGTTCAGGCTCTTCTATAATTAATTTTAAAAAAACAAGTTGGAAAGTACTCAGGGTTTTGAATTGCATAACATGGTTAACTTTCAACCACAAATATTTACCAAGTTCCAAACACAGGCAGGCATGGCAAGAGGAATACCAGTTAGTGAGAAGATGACTATCAGAAGCTGACACCCAATCAGATGTGGCAATGATGGGGATGGACAGCAAGTGGACAGATTTGGAAATTAGTCTAGGAATTGAATGGAAATCAATATACATTTACTGAGACCCTACTGAGTATGAAACTGCCCACAGGGAGCAAGCCTGGGAATTCCTGTGGTGTCCTGATTAGCCCTCCAGAATCTGGTTTTGGCTTTTTCAGTTGACTCATTTACCCACAAGTGGGAGGAGTGTGCAGGGGCCCATCAGGCAGCTCTAGTAGGCAACATTAATGTGCTGCTACACAGCTGTTGACATGAACATCCGAGGGGCATGGACGATACTCACACTGGAGATAAAAGCCAGCCCACTAGGAAGTATATCAATATCTTCAGAGCCATTTTCTGCAAAAGAAGTGGAAGGTTAGAAAAATGTATGTTAGAAGGCTTAAAAAATAAATCTCATAGTCAGAACTTTGAACTTCTTTTGGAAACTACGTTGACTTTTTTCCAACTATTTACTTGGGAAAGTATATTAACTTTCAAGAATACCACAGGCCATGCTACTCTACAGTAAAACTCGAGGTGGACTCCTTCCTTTCTTCCTTCCTTCCTTCCATCCTTTTTCGAATTTCCTCTCAGAAGAAAAAAAAAAGAAATAACTATAAAATAAATTGATATCCTAGATTTATTCTTTAAATAATGATTTCTAGGGTCTGTCCTGAGAAATTTAGCTTTATTCCCCATGGAAGACTGATGTACAGACCGAGCGATAACATTTGGAAAATTATTGTGAACATTTCTTAAAAGACTTCTCGTCTCTGCCAAGTATTTCTCTTCTTCTAATTTGTTGTTGAGGCTTAAACATCTATTATTATCTAATCATATTGGGGATTTATTGAGTAATTGCTCTGTTACCAAGGCGATAGGTCTAAGGATGAACTAAATATAAATGAATTTGAAAGAGTTTGTTCAGAGGTCTTTCCATTGAGAGCTGGTCTTGAGCATTTTTCTTTGAGAAGAAGCATATAATAAGTTATGACTAAGACCAGTATGAAAAAGGGGCTTGCATGGCTCCTAATAGAGAGATAGAATGACAAATGACATGATCCCAAGTAGACAGGACCAAAGGTGAAAACAATGGCTATCTAGTGTGACAAACTGTATTTTACAAATATAGTAGAATCAATATGTATCATGGTCATGTGCTCTTCTCACAATGTGATGTTCATACTCTTCTATCAAGAGGTAAAGTCTATATTCTCTCTCCTTGAACCTGGGTAGACCTTTGTAACTGTTTTGACAATTAGAATGAGGTGGAAGTGATGCCACAGGATGCTATAGCTTTTGCTTGTTCTCCCCTTTCTCTCTCTATCCTCCCTCTCCCGGCATGCACCTTGGGAGCCCTGGGAACCCTGGGAGCCCTGAACCTAATGTAAAAAGTCCGGCGACTTTCAAGCTACTGAGGAGAGACTACAGAGAGATCACACAAGGTAGAGAGAGGGATGCCCTACATTCACCCTTAGACAGGGTCATGCCGAAGCATTACTATTAATGAATATTACCATCATGTCACATCTTGGAGAGAAGGTTCTGACATCCAGCTAAGAAAACAAATAGAACCTACTACAGAGTAGAAATATATCTTGGAGACACAGGAGGCTGCAGGAGGGGAAAAGGGATGGAGAGAAAAATAGGAAGACACCAAACGCAGTGGCTGTCTACTTGATAGTCCTGCTCAGGGCCAGTCCTAATAAAGCTATTTAGATTTCAAGTACAGCTTTGAGTAGATGCCAAGGGCAGTCAAACAACTGCCTGGTTAAAACAATCCTTCAAAGCCTTGGGAAGAGATGATCTATGAAATATGATTTCTGGAGGTTAGAATTAACTTATCTTTCTTCCTTTCTACCCAGAAAGACTATTGGGAAGGAAAACAAAAAGATACAGAGTTCCTTCCACCAATAAAATTAACCACAAAGTTCTAGGTCTGAAGAAAATACAAATCAAAATTTCCTCCCAACTCTGTTACTGCCTACTACACTCTACCTAAAATCTTGAAGTGGTTTTCCATTGTTTCATAAAGCCATTCACTCATCAAATAGTTGGGTCTTGTGCATACTGTCTCGTTAGTGATCTTTACTTAAATATCCAGCCTGCCTTGTTTTGGTCAGCCCTACTTAGTAGTATTTCACCTTTTTGCATCTCAGAGTTTCTGTTTTCTGCTGCCATTGTACTTTCCAGAAGCTTTCATAATAAAAATGTGTTGTCAGTAGAGAAGAAATGCAGTGTTACACAATAGAGTTCACAAGGCATAGAAGAAAACCATGCTGGCTCATAATCTAGGCCTGCTGCCCACTTCTTCTAGACTACTGGGCAAGTAACTTCATTCTTCTGTATGTCAGTTCCCTAATCCGAAAATAAAAGTCAAGAAGGAGTTTGTCTTAGCAAATTCTGCTTTCTAGCCTGCAGCACAAACCTCCTCTAATACCAGGGAGCACAGGGCCAGGGAATTTTTCTGAAATTGAAAGGAAAAAAAAGAAAGTTCATTTTTTTTCTGTTGCCTGTCTTTCTTCTTTTCTTTCTTCTTCCCTCTCTTTGATGATATTCAAAATCAAAAAGGATTCTGATTTTTTTTCTGATTATATATATGTACTATAAACCATATCGCAGTAAACTATGCTGTCATCCTGTCACACATTGATAAATAAGTTATAGTCCTTGACCCTAGGGAGTTTGCAATCTGATATTGAGAGAAAGAGAAAACACTGCCAGCTATAAAAGCATGTGGTAGGTGTCGTAAGTGAATCAGACTTTCAGGGTGGTGTGAGAATTCAGAGGCAGGAGAGAAATTTGCAGGTGATTTTAGCAAGCAGAGATGAAGAAATCAGTGGAGGGAATTTTATAAGCAAAGGTGAGAGAGTGAAAAAACACATTCTCAAAACAGTGAACAGAATGTAGCCGAGACATTTTTTTTTTGTAGTATGAGAGGGAAAATGGGAGGCTTGGAGTCCAAATAAACAGTCAGGTCAGCAACAAATCCAGACAGCCCTGTGCCGGGGCGTATAGGAGGTTAATGTCAACGTGTCTCATGTGGAACAATGAGCATTAAGGGGAAAACAAATGGTTCTTGGATTGTGAACGAAGTCTCTTTGAGAATGGAGTATCATGCATAGGAGAAGTCTAGAAGAAGAGCTGGTTGTGGGCAGGGGTATGAGGGAGAAAATAACAGAAATGTTAAGTAGAATAAAGTAGATTTCAGACTGGAAAAGAAGACCTGCCGTTTGAAAGGTTAGGGATCAAGCTATGGATTTGTGATTAATTTTTAAAAAGACATCTCAGCAGGCCATGAGATTCTTGTGGGTAAGAACTAAGTCCTAGTCCTTTTGGTACTTGCAGATAAATTTTGAAGGAGGTACACTTGAAGCCAGTAATATCATCAAGGAGAGGGAAGAAGAAAAGAAGACAGGCAACAGAAGAAAACAGAGAGGAGAGTGAACTATATATATCACAGAAGAAACAGGAGGAGAGTTCAGCAAGGGACTGCCAAAAATGAGTCAATGACACCTTCGAATGATAGAGAGACCTCAGGAGGAAAAGAACTGAGAAAAAGCCGCTCGTTTTGACATTTAAGAGACCCCTTGAAAACCTGGGATGAGGTAGCTTGCGTAAAGTGGATGGGGCAGAAGCTTCAGTATGAGATTTTAAGGAGTAGCAGGGAATTAAATCAGCTGGCAGCCTCATTCAGGTGGATGGTGACCAAGAAACTGTACTGGCCCCTTGTGGTTATGTCACATACATACCAATTCCTTCAATAAGTTGGCAGTTCCTGGGTTCTACTGGCTCCACTTCTCGAGATATACTAAATCTTTGTCTACTGAAGATAAAAACAATGCATGACTTCCAAAATCAATGTCTAAACATGGTTTTTAACTACTTTCATATTTCTTAACTCTCTTTCTTATCATCTGTGCATGATTTAACAAGTAGGCATCACCTTTTATTTATATTTATATAAATAAATATATAGGTATGAACATTATGTAGGTAGCATGCCTATATCAGCTAACCTCACCCAGTTATTGTTGAAAGACTAAAATGCAATTACACACGAACAACACTTTGCTGCAAAAATAAATGATAATATTTAATAGTATGAGTAATTGCACAGTATTATCAATTTAAATGTACAGGATGTATTATTTAATGAGTTAAAGTATTGTCTATTATAAATCTGTACTTTAGCTCCCCTTAATCTACTATGGTCTTGCCTTTTGATGCAACTCCCTTCCCCAAACTGGTTTCCCCAAATTAAACAGGGTTTCCTACTATCCAAACCCTGTAGCCTTTTCTTTAACTTTATTATTTTTAAAATTTTATGCTGACTTACTTTGCAAGCATGTAAATTCATTAAACTGACCACAATTTAAACAATTGGTCACATTATTGTTCAATATGGTGTTCTTGTTTCCGCAGCAAAACATTCTTTTAAATATCAAGAATAATTTAAAATTTTATTAAATCGTATTCAGGAAGACTCTACACTTAGACTTATCTTACTGTCACGTTAAAAAAATAAGTCTTAAACCTACCTTATAGTTATTGCTTTTTATGATTCTCTCACTTGGGTACACTGGCAGCAAATGTAACAATAAACACTCAAGATGAGCTAGAAAGTATTACCAAAAGGCATCAGGCTCCTGAATAGATCTAGGTGTTAACCAGATTTTATTTACTTAGAGAAGTAAATAAAAGCACCCGAAAGACAGCTGAAGGCAAGTAGAGGCTTTAGATCTACTCAAAAATGCATATCATCACCTAAAATGTCTTCTTCCTAGACCAGTATGGACTCTTCCTGAGATATTTCCGGCTGTCACCACTAGATCTTCCAGTTTCAAAGTTTGAATACCTACAACATGCCTAATGTGATCTGCATTTCCTTCTAATTCCCCAGCTGTCTGAACAGGTCTTTTAATCTGTGGTGAGTTCTGCAGCCCAGTACTCTTCAATGTATAAGTGGCCCTGAGCAATGTCAGAGTCAGTCATAAACAGTAGCCTGGTCCCTTCCCCCAAATCCAGTGCTTCCGACCGAGTTAGTTTTTGCAGAAGCAAAATGCTAGGAGAGACCTAGCAGAGGGTGGGGAGGCACGACTTTCAGAAAATAAATGGGGGCATTTCTGCTCTACGATCTTAAGAAAGGCAGGCAATCAGCTCACTTTTCACATCAGTGCTTCTCAAGGGACGGTTTGCTGGGTGGGATTGAGGAGTGAGGTTCCAAAACTGCTCATTCCTACTCACTAGGAAGGCAGCTCTGGTAGCCCCTGACCTAACTTGGAAGAAGAAAGATAGCCGAAGATGCCTCAAGATGCCAACTCACCTAAACGCCACGATGAGGGCCAGGGCTGCCCCCAGCAGGGCCAGGACCACCAACTTTCCCATGATCCGGGTGCCCAGTGGCCAAGAGCGGGAGCGGACTCCTCTCGGAGGGCGGAAGGTAGAGGGCGGGGCGAGCAGGTTTATGGCTCTACTCTCTGATTGGTGTCAACCCAAGACGGTAAGCTGCCTGGGCGCTGCAGCTGCCGTCCTTCTCCGGCCCCTTCCCTCCCCGCCC